TGGTCAGCCATTGGCAGCTCATGCGTGACCCTGCGTTGCCGCCACATGGCCCCTGTGGGGGCAGGACTGGAAGAAGAGGAGGAGGTAGAGGAGGACATTGGTGCTCAGGAATTATTGAGTGAAATGGGTGGTTTTTCCACTCAGCGGACAGGAGTGGAGGAGCAGGAGCATCTGGTAGAGGAGAGGAAGAGGAGACAGAGGACCTAGACGCACCGTGGCAGTATGCTGTGGAGATGGAGGCAGGGAGTCCCTCGCATTCCTTGGCACAAATGGCCCATAGCATGCTCGGTTGCTTGCGTAGCGACAGCCGAATAATAACCATCAGACAGAGGGATGACTTTTGGCTGTCCACCTTGTTGGACCCTCGCTACCGTTCAAAAATGGTGGCCTTTTTCACACCTGCTGAGAGGGAGGCCAAAATAACGTACTATAAAAAACACCTATGTAGTCAGCTGGTCTCTGCCTGTCTGCGCCAACGTCCATCCTCAGACACTGTGGGCCCTGTGCGCTCGTGTTCCGCTGCCATGGCAGCAGGGGAGGGGTGGGGTGGTAGGAGCAGTGGCAGCTCCACCAGCAGCGGCTGCCTCAGTCTGCAGTCGATGATGAGTAGCTTTCTTCACCAGCGCAGTGAGGAAACTACTAACCAGCCGCAGCAGCAGCAGCAGCATCAGGTGGACCTGGAGCAGGACCTCAAACAACAGGCTTAGGCCTACTTGGACAGCACCCTGCCAACCGAGGTAGACAATCCCCTTGACTACTGGGCAACGAAACTTGACCTTTGGCCCCAACTAGCTGAATTTGCCCTTGAAAGGCTGTCATGCCCGGCCAGTAGCGTGGCATCGGAGCGCGTGTTTAGTGCGGCAGGAGGTATTGCAACTCCGCGGAGGACACGACTGTCCACCCAAAGTGTGGAGAGACTCACGTTTGTGAAAATGAATCAGGCGTGGATTAGTCTGGATTTCAAACCACCAGTTCCTGACACAACTGACTAAATCCGCCATGAATCATGCCCCAAACATGTGCCACTTTCAGGTCTCCTCACACTGCTGGTGTGTTCCATTTTTTGTCATAGGGTGCTGGCAGATTACGGGCCTCCCATAGCTGCTGCCAGGCCCCTAATCTGCCATGGGCCCCTATACCGCCTCCTCATGCTGCTGCCAAGTCCAGAGTCTCTCATGGGTCCCTGTACGGCCTCCCATTGCTGCTGCCTCCATCGCCACACTCTGCCATGTGCCACTTTCAGGTCTCCTCACACTGCTGGTGTGTTCCATTTTTTGTCATAGGGTGCTGGCAGATTACGGGCCTCCCATAGCTGCTGCCAGGCCCCTAATCTGCCATGGGCCCCTATACCGCCTCCTCATGCTGCTGCCAGGTCCAGAGTCTCTCATGGGTCCCTGTACGGCCTCCCATTGCTGCTGTCTCCATCGCCACACTCTGCCATGTGCCACTTTCAGGTCTCCTCACACTGCTGGTGGGTTCCATTTTTTGTCATAGGGTGCTGGCAGATTACGGGCCTCCCATAGCTGCTGCCAGGCCCGTAATCTGCCATGGGCCCCCGTACCGACTCCTCATGCTGCTGCCAGGCCCGTAATCTGTCATGGGCCACTGTTGTCGCTTGTTGGCATATTCCGCTCGTTCAGATGCTCCTTCTCCTGCTACTCCTCTTCACGGATTCCGTCAGCAGTCTTTCTTGGAATCCGTTTCCAAGAGACAACAGTTTGCGAGCACGCACCCGACGGTGCAGAAGCTGAACGTCCTCCTGTCCAAGTTGCTGCTGCCAGGCTCGTAATCTGTCATGCGCCCCTGTACCGCCTCCTCATGCTGCTGCCAGGTCCAGAGTGTGTCATGGGCCCCCGTACCGACTCCTCATGCTGCTGCCAGGCCCGTAATCTGTCATGGGCCCCTGTACCGCCTCCCCCATGCTGCTGCCAGGTCCAGAGTGTGTCATGGGTCCCTGTACGGCCTCCCATTGCTGCTGCCAGGCCCGTAATCTGCCATGGGCCCCTGTACCGACTCCTCATGCTGCTGCCAGGCCCGTAATCTGTCATGGGCCCCTGTACCGCCTCCTCATCATGCTGCTGCCAGGTCCAGAGTGTGTCATGGGTCCCTGTACGGCCTCCCATTGCTGCTGTCTCTATCGCCACACTCTGCCATGTGCCACTTTCAGGTCTCCTCACACTGCTGGTGGTTTCCATTTTTGTCATAGGGTGCTGTATGGCCTCCCATTGCTGCTGCCTCCACCGCCACACTGTGGCTCCACACTCTGGTTTTGGCCCCGTGACTGCCCAAATGAGTGAAGTGTGCGGTGATTCTAAGATCGACGGCACTCATCTGCATGTCATACTGACTGACAGTATTATTTCTCTTCCCCCAGCAGACTCCAAGGGCATTTAAATTAAAGGTACAGTGTTCTGCACTAATATTAAGTCTCTCTGAAGCCTAGAAACACCCCTTTTTTAAGTTAAATTCACAGCGAATTTATTCGACTCGAATCGAATATTGTCCACGAATTCGCCGAATCAGTCGAATCGAATTTTTCATTTCTTCGCTCATCTCTAATTATAGCCAAAAAGTATTCATCTATTTTTAAGTAAAAAAAATAACCCAAATTAGTTTTAACCAAAAATTATAATTTAAAAAAATTTACATTCTTATTTTATTTTTTTTATGTTATTTATGTTTTTTGTTTTAACACATACTGTCACCCTGGCAGTTCAGTGTTACCATAGTGTCACTACTACTTATGGGGGGTGATAAAGATGTTTTTTTTTTTCACTGATTGCTTTTATACCCATAAAGGCTGCAAAAGCAATAATTTCTCCTTCCCTCTGGCTGCATTCTTACAGCCATTGAGAAATACTGTGAGAGCTGTGATTGGTCACAGCTTGTCCAATGGTACATGGCTGTTGTGAATAGCCTTGTACCATGTGACCTCTCATGTGTTGATTCACAGATTTCACTAGTAGTAAGCAATGATGTCAGAAGTGACATCTTGCTTACTACTATTCATGTGATCACTGATTGGGACCTCACACAGAGGTCCTGTACAGCGATTGGTGCAGCACACAGGCAGGGAAGCGGGGAAGATGTTTATAAACACAGCCACCCGCTCCTGCAATGCCCCCGTCCGGCCATTTATATACATGAGCCAGACAGGAAGTGGTTAATTGGCTGTATGTAATTTAGAAAAAATATTTTTCTTACATCTGTGTTTAAGACATTTTGAGATTTTAATTCTCCCAGGATGGCACGAGGGTTCCAGTTCTCCAGGATATAGGTCAGATCATCTTTTGAATACTCATATATCATCCTCAGTGATGGATCGTCATATCCAGACAGATGATTGTGGAACCTCTCAATGTCCTCTAGAAAAAATACACAGAAAAATGTTTTTTAGATTTTCTAAAACCCAAATGCTTTGAATTCACTTTCAGCAAAGACATTTTTCTCAGTGGATCAATACTTTGAAATTGGGGTTATGTAACAACTGACATTTCTATAAGGAGAACTATACAAATCATTATCTATATAAGGAGCATTATACGAGGGTTCTTCAAAAAGTTTATGCACTTTTATTTTATTTATATATATAAAAATAGAGTTTAAAAAAAGTGCAGAAACCTTTTGAAGAACCCTCATATGTAATGCCCTATGATTGGGGATTTTTATTTGTGCATCCAAAACTATTTATTGATGAATCCTTAGTGAGAACTATTGACCATCAAGTTTGCCTGTGACTGGGGGCTTTTTTAACCATTTACATCCAGTATATACAACAATACATACAGGTAAAATGTAGAAAGTTCCTGCTACTATAATCAACATATCTCTAGTGATAGCCCCCTTTTATTTTATTTTTTTCTACTTAGATGGTGCTGCTTTCCCAGGTTGTTTAGATCTACTTTAAGTGTCACTAAACCCAGGACCCTGCATTCACTATATCTGGTCTCCCCGGACCCTGCATTCACTATATCTGGTCTCCCCGGACCCTGCATTCACTATATCTGGTCTCCCCGGACCCTGCATTCACTATATCTGGCCTCCCCGGACCCTGCATTCATTATATCTGGTCTCCCCGGACCCTGCATTCACTATATCTGGTCTCCCCGGACCCTGCATTCACTGTATCTGGTCACCCCCCGGTCCCTGCATTCACTGTATCTGGTCTCCCCGGACCCTGCATTCACTGTATCTGGTCTCCCCGGACCCTGCATTCACTGTATCTGGTCTCCCCGGACCCTGCATTCACTGTATCTGGTCTCCCCGGACCCTGGATTCACTGTATCTGGTCACCCCGGACCCTGCATTCACTGTATCTGGCCTCCCCGGACCCTGCATTCACTGTATCTGGTCACCCCGGACCCTGCATTCACTGTATCTGGTCACCCGGACCCTGCATTCACTGTATCTGGTCACCCCGGTCCCTGCATTCACTGTATCTGGTCCGGTCCCTGCATTCACTGTATCTGGTCACCCCGGACCCTGCATTCACTGTATCTGGTCACCCCGGTCCCTGCATTCACTATATCTGGTCTCCCAGGACCCTGCATTCACTAAATCTGGTCTCCCCGGTCCCTGCATTCACTATATCTGGTCTCCCAGGACCCTGCATTCACTATATCTGGTCTCCCAGGACCCTGCATTCACTATATCTGGTCTCCCCGACCCTGCATTCACTATATCTGGTCTCCCTGGTCCCTGCATTCACTATATCTGGTCTCCCCGTACCCTGCATTCACTATATCTGGTCTCCCCGTACCCTGCATTCACTATATTTGGTCTCCCCGGACTCTGCATTTACTATATCTGGTCTCCCCGGACCCTGCATTCACTATATCTGGTCTCCCCGGGACCCTGCATTCACTATATCTGGTCTCCCCGTACCCTGCATTCACTATATCTGGTCTCCCCGTACCCTGCATTCACTATATCTGGTCTCCCCGTACCCTGCATTCACTATATTTGGTCTCCCCGGACTCTGCATTCACTATATCTGGTCTCCCCGGACCCTGCATTCACTATATCTGGTCTCCCCGGACCCTGCATTCACTATATCTGGTCTCCCCGGACCCTGCATTCACTATATCTTGTCTCCCCGGACCCTGCATTCACTATATCTGGTCTCCCCGGACCCTGCATTCACTATATCTGGTTTTCCCGGCCCTGCATTCACTATATCTGGTCTCCCTGGACCCTGCATTCACTATATCTGGTCTCCCCGGACCCTGCATTCACTATATCTGGTCTCCCACAGTACACACAACATGGAAATGCAATTATCTTAGTAAATATAAACTGAGAAATACCTTTTCATCAGCAGTATAGAACAGTCTTGTGACTTCTATTAGTGTCCGGCCGAGCACTGGTTAAGCTGGTAAGAGGAGTTTTCATTCTGCTCTGACTGTCCTGTGAGATTGCATGACCCATGACCCTCTGTCTGGACAGTGTTGATCACATGCACCCCCCCTTCCGAACCACCCCCCAAAAATTCTATCAATACATAGCAAACTGAGCATTCACAGAGTGACTCTTAGAGTTCTGTACTTTCAGCAGATGGATTGGGGACAGTAGAAGAAGGGGGGGATCAGAGAAGACAGGATCAAGCAGCCTTTTTACACAATGCAGAGGATTAACACTTTAAGTTCCACAATGAGTATAACCAGCATGTTTTACTGCATAGAAAGACTGATTTTACTTGGTAACATTTTAAAGCACTGCATACCTTAAACCATTCACATTTCTTTAATAAAATCCTGTTTCCTGTTTGCTGCTGATCTCCTGCAGCCTCCTTCATCCACTTCCTGTCTACATGTACTGACTTCAGCTACAAATCATTATATGGCGTATATATATATATATATATACAGTGGGGATCGAAAGTTTGGGCACCCCAGCTAAAAATTTGTATTAATGTGCATAAAGAAGCCAAGGAAAGATGGAAGAATCTCCAAAAGGCTTCAAATTACAGATTAGACATTCTTATGTCAACAAAAGTTAGATTTTATTTCCATCATTTACACTTTCAAAATAACAGAAAACAAAAAAATGGCGTCTGCAAAAGTTTGGGCACCCTGCAGAGTTAATATCTTGTACTGCCCCCTTTGGCAAGTATCACAGCTTGTAAACACTTTTTGTAGCCAGCCAAGAGTCTTTCAATTCTTGTTTGAGGAATCTTTGCCCATTCTTCCTTACAAAAGTCTTCCAGTTCTTTGAGATTTCTGGGCTGTCTGTCACGCACTGCTCTTTTAAGGTCTATCCATAGATTTTCATGTTGAGGTCAGGAGATTGTGAAGGCCATGGCAAAACCTTCAGTTTACGCCTCTTGATGTAATAACCCGTGGATTTCGAGGTGTGTTTAGGATCATTATCCATTTGTAGAAGCCATCCTCTCTTTAACTTCAGCTTTTTCACAGATGGCATCAAGTTACCATCCAAAATTTGCTGAAATTTTATTGAATCCATTTTTCCTTGTACTCGTGAGAGATGTTCCCTGTGCCACTGGCTGCAACACAACCCCAAAACATGATTGATCCAACCCCATGCTTAACAGTTGGACAGAGGTTCTTTTCATTAAATTCTGTGCCCCTTCTTCTCCAAACGTACCTTTGCTCATTCCGGCCAAAAAGTTCAATTTTAACCTCATCGGTCCACAGAACTTGTTTCCAAAATGCATCAGGCTTGTCTATATGTTCATTTGCAAAGTTCAAACGATGATTTATGTGGTGAGGACGTAGAAGAGGTTTTCTTCTGATGACTCTTCCATGAAGACCGTATTTGTACAAGTATCTCTTTATAGTGGAATAGTGTACCACAACTCCAGTGTTTGCCAGATCTTTCTGGAGGGATCGTGCAGTCAAACGTGGGTTTTGAATTGTTTTTCTCACACAATCCTGCGAGCTGTTCTGTCTGATATTTTTCTTGGTCTTCCAGATCTTGCTTTAACTTCCACTGTTCCTGATGACTGCCATTTCTTAATTACATTCCGAACAGAGGATATTGACATCTGAAAACGCTTTGCTATCTTCTTATAGCCTTCTCCAGCTTTGTGAGAGTCAACTATTTTCAGTTTCAGTTTTCTAGACAACTGCTTAGAAGAACCCTTGGTGCTGATTGTTGGGGCAAGGTCAGATGAGTCTGGGCATTTAAAACCTTTGAGATTGACATCACCTGGTCTTCCCAGACGATGATTGAGAACAATCCATGACACTGGCAGGTCTCAGCTTGGCAAAGGGGCAGTGCATGCTATAAATTCTGCAGGGTGCCCAAACTTTTGCAGACAACATTTTTTAGTTTTCTGCTATTTTGAAAGTGTAAATGATGAAAATAAAATCTAACTTTTGTTAACATATTATAAGAATGTCTAATCTGTAATTTGATGCCTTTTGGAGATGTTTCCATCTTTCCTTGGCTTTTTCATGCACATTA